AGAAGACATCTAGAATAGCAAAAGCAATCCTGGGAAGCAAAGAAAAGGCAAGAGGCATCACAATCTTTGACTTGAAATTATAGTTCAAAGTACTATGATAGAATCAACATGCTACTGGGAAAAAAAAAAAAAAAAAAAAAAAAAAACCCTGCAGATCAAGAGCAGATTAGAAGATACAGACACAACTGCAAACACACTCAGCCACCTTTGACAAAGGGGCCAAACATTCACTGGAAGAAAGCCTTGTTCATAAGTAGTGCTGAAAAAACTGACTTTCCATGTGCCATAAACTAAAATTAGACATACCCATCACCATGCACTAAAGTCAAAATAGATCACAGATCTAAATATTAAAACAAATACTAAATCTACTGGAGGAGAAAGTAAGTAGAAGTAGGCAGAGAGTTCATGAACAATCAGCGGCCCAGGAAATACTTCAAAGAATCAACAACTGGGATCTCTTCTTAATTGAAATGTTTTTGCACATCAAAAGAAATCAGTAGAGCAAAAAGAAAACCCACAAACTGAGAAAAAATTTTAGCTGACTATCTTTCAGACAAAGGACTTCTATCTAGAGCATATAAAGAATTTTTAAAAAATCGTGTCCCCAAAATTCAAAGGCAGGCCCAATCCAAAAGTGGGCATTTGAGATGAATATACACTTCTCAGATGAAAGACAAAAGGATAAATAAATATATAAAAAAGGTTCAGTATTATTGGTCATACAAGAAATATGAATTCAATCACTGAAGTTCCCTCTCATCCCAGAAAGAATGGCCATTATTAAGACAGTAACAAATTTTGGTGGGGCTATGGAGAAAAAGAAACTTTCCACTATTTGTAGGAGTGCAAAGTGGTACAACCACTCTGGAAGTCAGTGTGGTGATTCCTCCAAAAGCTAGGATTGGAGGTCCCATTCAAGTCAGCTATCCCCCTCCTGAGTATTTTTCCACAAGAACTAAAATTATACCACAGTGATGTATGTGCACCAATGTTTATAGCAGTGCAATTTGTCAGAACTTTGAAATAACCCAAACGCCCATCAACTGAGGAATGGATAAAAAGATATTTCTATATCTTGGGGTATTGCTCAGCTATAAAGAAAGATAAACTGGAGGCTTTTATAGGTAAATTGATGCAACTAGAGACTATACTCATAAGAAACTCAGACCTGCATGTGTAAACATCATATTGTCTCTCTAGTGTAAAAACCTGAAACAGTAAATAAAATACAAGGTTTTTTTTTTTTTTTTTTGCGGTACCGAGGATTGGACTCTGGACCTTGCTCTTGTCAGGCAGGTGCTTATGCCACTGAGCTACCTCCTCAGTCCCCAAAAAGTACAATAGATACTGTGAAAGGGAAACTGTTGAAAGGTAAGGAACAACTGGAATGAAGGAAAGCAGAAAAAGAAGGGTGGGGGAAATTATATATATATTTATATATGCACATATATAAGCTGGGATAATTGTACTGCTGTGATCTGGCCTATTGAAAGAAACAGTTAATGCTTACATTTTTTCTTTTTAATTTTGTGTTTATTAATTTTCCATGCTTATATCTGGTAATCTGAACAACTAATTTTAAGACAACAATATGCAATATAAGAACTATTGTTGAATTCTCGTTTTACTTAATGAAGTTCTGTATCATTTCTAATGCTTTATATTTTATTCTCAAAAAAATTTAAAAAGCAAAAAATAAAATATAAACTTGTTCCTGTAACAAAGAAAAAAAAAAGCTATTAAAATATACCGGAAAACACTGATGTGGCTGTTAATGGTTTGCCTTAAAAATATTCAAAATGACCCCTTAGCATTTGGTTAGGCTTTTAACCCAGTAATGAGCATTTAAACTAGCTGCTTCTGTGTTTGTGTAGGTTGCTATGTCTCTTGCACATATATAGGCTCCAGCCTAAAGGTTCATGGCCACATGAGTTTGACCAGAATTCATGCTTGTATTCTTGTATTTTACATTCTTGTCATAGTTGTGTGGCAATGACGAGGATGAGCTCGAAACCCTGCAGCAGTGTTTCCGGCAGCTGTCTTCTTCCTTAAGCCCTGCATTAGAGACTTGACTTGGAGAAGGGGGTCGTTTCCAACCAGCATGGAATTGTCATCTTTTCTGTGTAAGTTTTAGATTAAATTCTAGGACTTCCTGACCTTCAGATTTGCATTTTGCTGGGATTTAGCTCAAGGAATTGAGCTACTTTAACACTGCAGTGAAATACAACTTTTATAGTCTTTTAAATTTGAGACTTTGGGACTCTTCAAAGCCAAAAAGGTACCAGCTGACCAGGTCAAAAGTACCTAAAGATGTGTAAGAAAAGTTTAGGTGAGGAATCACAGCTGTTGGCTAGCTCAGTAAAACATTTTCATATGTATATTTGTATTCCTTATAGTCCTGTAAGGTTATATAGGATATCACCTCATGAAAAAAGAAGTCTCCTGTATCTCAGGCTGACAAACCTAGGATTTTAAATCATGTGAAGCTTTAGATACAGATGATGTCTCTAACTTAAGATATAAGTTTTGTCTTGGCTACATTCTGAAAGCCCTACAAAGTGCAGGATGAAAAAAGATCTTGCTAAAATTGAATGAAATAATGTCAAATTACTCATAATATTATTATTTTAAAATGAATCATATGATGAAGAACTGGAAATTTTCCTAATCATTGGATTGTATACTTCAGAGGTAACCATTATTTACTGTGGTATGTGTTGAAATCTTTCCTGTGCTTATTGTTACATCTGTGTGTGCTTATTGAGATATTGTGTGTGCATAAGACATACACTTGATTTTTAATCCTACAAAAAGTCATTTTGTACAATTTTCTTTTTTTAAGGTTTTCCTGCTTATTAAATCCTCTTATGAAAACATTCACAATCACTGAAGACAGGCACTGCAGAATCTCTACTCCTTCTGCTGCTCTCCAATCTCGAGCTCACTTTTTGCCAGCACCAATGTTAGCCGTTGCGGTGCCCTTGACTTTCTTCATTCTGTTCTTGCGTTCCTTCCACTGCTTTCTGGAGTTCTTTTTCTTCTCATACAGGCTATGTCTTGCAAGTCTATGGTTTGGCTCATTTTTCTTCGCATAATCCAGGGAGTTGTAAGTAATGCCTAAGCTAGTCATCTTGCCACCATCAAATGGGTTCTCAATCCAAACACAAAAATGACATCTGGTGTGGTCTTGTACATCTTGGCGAGTTTTTCCCAAATTTCTGTTTTAGGTACTGTTGCTTTCCCAGGGTGAAGGACGTCAATGACCATTTGTTTCCTTTGAAGAAGTCAGTTGGTCATGAACTTCTGGTTTTGGATAGTTACTGTGTCATTCATGATGGCAATGATCCTCAGACAGCCTCAAACAGGGAGGAACAGAGAAATGTTCTCCAGCCAATCATATCAATGTGCATGGAAGGACCACAATTTTCTTTTTGTATAACATGATTGTTTTTCTGGGTTATTACGTAACTATAATACTCATGTGGTGGCATTGATTTGATTCTTTTAAGGGTAAACAGGGCTGTATGTTTGTTTGTTTTCTTGAGCTGAGTCACTATGTTGCCCAAACTGATCTTGAACTTCTGGGCTTAAGTGAATCTCCTGAGTATTTGGGACTACAGGTGCATTCTACCATGCCCAGCTGGTGAATGCAGTTTTGACTATAGAGCACTAGACTTTGTATCTTTTTCTAACTGTACTTCTTGAAGCTTGTCTATACTTTACTTTCTGTCATTAGAAAGGTTATTATTAAGAGCTAGTAAGATCTGTTTTACTTTTTGTTTTCTTTTTCAGTACTGAGGATTGAGCTGGGGGCCTTTGGGATGTTAGGTAAATATTGTAGCAGTGAGCTACATCCCCAGTCCTTTAAGAATTTTTAAATGGTCATGAATTTGTAGCCATTTACATTAAGAAAGGTCATCTAAAATGAGACAGCTTAAACTTGCCAAATATGAACATTACCTAAAGCTTGGATAACCTAGAACTTGAAGAGTACTTAAATTTCAATTCAAGGAAAAGGATATGGATCTTAGAGTTAAAATTGTCTTCATACTATCACTTCCCAACTTTGTAAGCTTGGATAAATGCTTATGTAATGTAGATGCCTCAGTTGCTTTGCCTGTAAGATGTGACTGTCTTCTTGAGGATCTTGGGAGGATAGGATGAGAATATCCTGCTAGATACTCTCTTTTTTTGAAAAAATCAGTCTGATTTGTTTTTAATTAAGTATTATGGTCATATACAAATTTGTGCTCATGTTGTACCTTCCTCACTTTAGTCCTTCTAATGAGCTGACAGGAAGCACCACTATCAATCACACATACAACAGTAAAAGTTTTAGTCTTGTGTTTTTGAATAGCTATTTAAACACTACCATGAATAGTAACTCAGTCTGACCTAAAGAAATCAAAAGTAGAACTTGCTGTTATATCATGCTAACTCTTAAAAGGATCTGATTTTACAGATCAACTATAAAATGTGAGAAATGTTAGATATTCTTTATTTGGTATTATATATACACCACACTAAAATTCCTTTCGATAAGTAAAAGGCAGCACTTTTTAGATATAGGGAATTCTAATTAAATTGGCATAGTCAAGACTAAAAATATAGACATAGCTTTCTTGTCTTCAGCCACTCCCTTTAACAGGCCAATAAACACAAACTGAAACGGTGGAAACTTGCTTGGTTTTGAGACAATGAAAGATTCTCTCAGTATTTAAACATATTCACATAACCAGTTATATAAATCTAAATATAAAACCAACCTTCAGTAGTTTTGAGATGATATTCTCAATCTTTGTGAAAAGTTGAACATTACTAATCAAGTCCATCCATGTATTTAGAAGGGAAAACAGTGATAGAATTTACTGAACTGGAATTACTATCAAACCTTGAAGAAAAAAATGATATACATTTAACTACAAGCTAATTTTATTTAAATCAGGACTGCCCAACAAAAATATTCTGTCAGTCACTCATGATCTGAATTCTGGTGTATGAGATTAAATTATGGTACACATACAAAAACCATGAGACATTTCTGTTCAGTAATAAATAAGGCAGTGACTATTACTCATTAGTAGCCTTTTTGAGGTAAGTTAGTCTGGCCTTTTTCCCTTCTTGCTGCCAGCAAAGATCATTTTTGTTCCTGGGATGTACTTCTTGGGATTCTCCAAATACTCCATCAAGGTATCCTCTCCCCAGGTGATACCTTTGTTCTTGTTGGCATCTGTGTAAGAGAATCCAGCAGCCTGACCTGTCTTCCGCCCAAAGAGACCATGGAGATTTGGCCCAGTCTTGTGCTTGCCTCCCTTCTCAACAGTGTGGCACTGGGCACACTTCTGTACAAAAATTTTCTTGGCTTTCTCAGCATCATCCACTTTTAAACCTGCTGTAGCTTCCACGCTGGGTGGTCACTGGTCTTCCCTTGTTACCTCAAGGAAAGTTCTAGTGCAGAAGCCTGATGTCCCGCTCTCTCTAGATACTCTTTTAAGCAGGGATGATATGCCTGCTTTTAACTTTGTATCCTCCTCTTTCTACAGAGACTACATGAATTTTGGAGGGTGATGGTCATTGCTGTTGTGTTCATCAGTATATTCCCTCAACTTGGTTAAGTTCTGTGGAAAGAAAAATTCATAAGTTTATATTTGCATCAAATATTTTTTACATAGTACATGGTCAGAGTATTTTTACACTTGATTTGAGCTAAAAGGCCAAGAAGCGATATGGTCAGAGTATTTTAAATGGGCTGATACACTTTAGTGCATGCCTTCTGCCTGCCTGGCTTACACAGACTACTATGGTTACTTTAGTTGGTTCTTTGACAAGTGTGAACTCCTAAACATTAGTGGTTTGAATTTCTCCTTTTGTATCAAAATAGGAACACAATCATTTAACTCATTAAATAACTTTGAGGGGAGTTCAAAGGTAAGCTACCCTCTTAGATTTGAATTATCTTTAGAATTTTAATATACTAATTTGATCTAATGTAGTTTCCTGTGTCCGTTTATAAAATCTCCCAGAACTGGGTCTACAGACATGTCTGGTGAGGAGATAAAATCTCTGTTACATTTGTTGTGCATTACTAATAGGTATATTCCTAATACTTAGAATTAAGATTGGGCTGGTGAGATGGCTCAGTGGTCTAAAGCACCTACTTAGAACAAGCTTAGCAAAGCACAGGGACCGCGGTTCAATCCCCCAGCACCACA